GGAGAGAGAGAGAGAGAGAGAGAGAGAGAGAGAGAGAGAGAGAGAGAGAGAGAGAGAGAGAGAGAGAGAGAGAGAGAGAGAGAGATGGCGGGTGTCGAGGAGGTTGTGCGGGAGATCGTGGGCGGGAAAACCGTCGTCGTCAGGAATCGAAGTTGGACCGTCGTTGCCACCCTCGCGGACGGATGGATTTCAGCCCTGACACGACTGATCTCCATAGTCGTGTGTACTATGTTCTCGTGGAAGGGACCGTGGCGATGAAGATCGATGGCGGTTTCGGGTACGACAAGGAAGGCAACCTGGTGGACGTCATCCTCAACGTTAAGAAGTTGTTGGAAGTCGTCCCCGACGACTGGCGTCTCCCTCAATGTGATGTCATCGGTGACATCGTTAGATACCTGGTGTCCGCCATAGCTGATGAACATATGGATGCGCTTAACGACAATGCCTTCTATGTGGCGCATATGCAGCCCCCTCTCCGGGGCAGGAAGTACTTGCACGACGCTGTGCAGTCGTGATGTCCTGATGACGATCTGAAGGCTGCGCGTCGGCGGTGGTGAGTGTGAAGGGGAGTGTTGCATGTTCGGCGATGAAGCGCAAGGAAAGATGTGATGCGGTCGCGTCATGCACGAAGGTGGTTAGGACGTTACCACCCTGGCGTTTTCGGGAAGCACGGTTGCGTGGACGTCAATTCACAGATCTTCATCTTCGGTGTGAATCGGTTGCACGGCGACACGGCAACGCAGAAGGGAGGACAACCCCGCAAGATCATCATAGTCCACGTTGCCACGTCAGCAGTCATGTTCCCGCTGATGGGTTTTTCGCAGATTTGTTCCCGCCGCGCGATTAGAGGGCGAAACGACCATCTGCATGTTGGGTATGGAGCAGTTAGAGGGTTGGATGTAGGTTGTCACTTGGGCCACGGGTCATTTGTCGGTCGTCACTTGCTCCGCGGCTGGGGAGGGGGGGGGAGGTGTTGGGTGTGCAGAGGTTGGAAGATTACATGGTAGCGCAGAAGGGAGGAGATCCCCCGCACTGTGGAGACAAGATGTGCTGCCACGTCTGCATTTGAGTCACCGTCGTGTGCTTCGATGATCTGTCGGTCGTTGTTGTTGTTTTTCGTTTTTCTTTTTTTCTTTCTTTTGTTAGGGCAGTCGAGGAGAATAGCAGTGGGTCGCCGGCGACGTGTAATGTCCCTAACGTTATGAACATTGTCGTGTGTGTGTGTGTGTGTGTGTGTGTGTGTGTGTGTGTGTGTGTGTGTGTGTGTGTGTGNNNNGTGTGTGTGGGTGTGTGGGTGTGTGGGTGTGTGTGTGTGCGGGCCGCGGCGAGAAGCAATCGTCCCCTGACCGAGTAGTTGCTGTTTTGCCGGCATGGGTGTCAAAACGACCACGTGTCAAGCATGTTGTGACGATGCACCGCCGGTTGGATATGTGGTAGTATTCGTGTGTGAATCAGTGGCCGGAACGAGGCTATTGCCGATGTTGGTTGGTGCTTTGAGCGCCTTTTTTTCGGGATTTTTGTGAGAACGGAGTGCAAGAAGGAAAAAAATTCCGTCGTGAGAAACATTTTTTTTTTCCGTCTTCCGGTCTATAATTGGTGCGGTTGCTTGAGTGCGGATGCGTGTGTGTGCTCTTCATCATTTTCTTGTCGTCTGTTGTCGTCATTTTTTCGAACTTTGGAAATAACATCGTTTTTTTGGCTTGTCGCTTCTCGTCAACATTTGCATTCGTTATGTACATGCATATGCATCTTTGATTGTCCATATCTGCTTCTGCCATTGATAAACCACTGAATGTGATGAAAGTATGAGCACGTTTTGAAGCTGCATCACCGACTATTTGTTGCTCGCATTACGAACATTTCACATCACAAATGCCATTCACATCATGAACGTCAACCACTTTCAAAGATATTCCGGTTCGTGACAAGTTCGAAGACATTCACATCACGAATGAGAAACATTGCGAAAGACAGATAAAAAAAAAAAGAGAAATGAAATTCAAACGGACTAGCACAAGGTTGAAAAGTGATTTCACGGAAATCTCATTGGAATGCCAATTGATATCGTTAATGACAGCATGACCTCCTGTCTGCATGTGCAACCACCGTGCTACGCAGATTGCCTGACTGATTTCGACAAACGCACATGCCCTCGCACATATGTATTAGAGAGCCTCCATGCGTGGACAGATGGATAGACAGACAGATAGGTAAACAGATAGATCGGTGGATAGATAGATGGGTGGACAGATAGTTAGATACGTAGGTGGAAGAAAGGCAGATGTATAGACAAATAGATAGATAGATAGATAGATGAATAGATAGATAGATAGATAGATAGATAGATAGATAGATCTGTCTGTCTATCTATCTATCTCTCTATCTATCTAAGGGTCATGCACTGAATACAAACACATATATAAACAACAATGGAACGACTAAGACTTCATACAAAAACGAACTTTTCGTTATGTGATGTACGACGTAGACCCGAGTTCATGTTTTTGGTTGTCTATCTGTTTCTCTATCAAAGTTGCCATCCACAATAGATAAACTGCAACCTTCGCGATGCAATTTCTTCCCTTCTCTAAGGCTTACTCCAATAGCTTTAAACATCCTTAGGGCAGCTGGCTTCATAGATGGAAATGTCATGGGTGTAAGTCTTCTTCACTCTTTTTTGGGCAATAACGACAAAGTCGATACGACTTGCAAGCCACGACGAATAATATTCTTCTCACTCTGCCTTTGCGAACGTATGTGCGTCGTTTTCCACAGTTCTTTTCGTCGCCCTGCATATTCAGCAATATAAAACGATAATGATTGACAAAACAAAACATTATGAGTTGAAGTTCAATTTTCTACATAATTGCAAATAAGAGATACACAATATTCTACTTCATTTTTTCTCATGACCGAGCGCACGGTTGCAAACTTAGGCAAAAAATTAGTTTCTATGAGATGAGTGCATGTACTCCCTAATCCGCATACGATATTGGATATTCCCTTAGAGATAAGTACGCGCTCACCTCGGTGGCTCACTAACACTTTGTCTTCAACACGATCTTCTATCGCACCATGCGATGGTGTAAAATGTGATTCGTCGATAGATATCACGAGGTTAGCAGATTGTTGTGCTTGTGATTTTGCAACCATAATTTCAAGTTGTACAAGCGTATATTGCTCCCGTGCACTTAGTACTATATGTCCTTCATCCTCTTCGATGGTCTGTACATTGGCAGTTTCGTTTGCACCTGCAGTCGCGCTTTCATTCTTTATGTTCAGAGAGACTTCATGTTCATTTTTCTCAGCTGGCATATCCAATGGCATCTCTAATTCTGCAAGTGCACCAGTATTAACCACTTGCGCAGTAACACTCTCGCTCGCCAACAAAGTGGTCGCGCAAACTTGGTCATCCGGAAGGACGTCCTCGACACATTTCGGCAGTTCTTCATGACTTACGCCCTTGACGCTTGCACTGCCGCTTCCTCCCAAATCCTGGCCACTTGCATCGCCTCTCGATCCCCTGCCATGTGCACTACCGCTTGGTCCTAATCCCAGAGGCGAACCCGATCTCCTAGAATGTGCACCGCTGCTTGGTCCTAATCCCAGAGGCGAACCCCATCCCTTGTCATGTGCACCGCCGCTTGGTCCTGATACCTTTCCCTCTATTGCTTGACACCCTTGACACATTTCGTATTTTTGCAGTTCACCATGACTTATTGACTTTCCACTTGCACCGACGCTCGGTCCCAGGCCCTTGCCACTCGCATCGCCCCGTGGTTCCGATCCCTTACCATGTTCACCACCACTTGATTTTGTTCCCTTGCCAAGCGCACCGCCGCCTGATCCTGATCCCTTGCCACTCTCATCGTCGCTCGCTCCTTTCCTTTCCCCAACTTTGTCTTCAAGTTCCTCTTTGATACGCCAATTATATCCAAAAGCTGGACTTGTTCCTCGATCATAGAACTCTTCAAGATACTTAAGTCATCGAGATGTCTTGAACTCCTCAAAGATTTCTTCTGTCCTTGCATCCAGTCTTGATTGAGAAACCTTCGGATTAAGTCGCAGTTGTCGCTTGCCAATCTCATTTTTGGGGTGTGCGACAAACTTGAATCGTGACATACGTCTGTGGAGGCAAAATTGCCACTCCCCTTCTTCTTTTATAACCATTACCCAGTTCCCTCTCGCCAATGCAGGTTGGAAGTGGTGGGGGTGCCATATAATGTGACGACCCCATATGTTGTTTGGCATCACCGTATAATCGTCCCGACACACAATAGGTCCAGGAAGCCGTGCAATGTCCAGAGGGATGATGTCTTCAATCTCGTACTCCAAAGGCTCAGACGGAGGTGGTTGAGGAGTTTGAGAGCGTAGCAATTCCAAAA